GGAACTAGTGCCGCTTTTATAAAGCAAGGACACATAGTTGTGATATGGTCTTGAGAAGAAAGTGTTTTGACACTAATATTTAGGAGAAGATAGCCTGGAAGAAGTCTGTTTCATTTTGAAAGTTCTAATCAGCAAGGCTTTAAAGAGCTAAAAAACATTCCAAGTCCTCTGCTGACATCTAGTGGTTATCATAAAAAGTATCTTACTTGAACAGCCACTTCTGCATACCACAAATGGAAAACATCAAATGCTTCTTTTTTACTAGAATCTAAAGAATTAACTCTCAAGTCAGAATGCAATGAATACTATATATAAACGAAGAGTTCCTGAACATCTTCTCATCATTCAAAGTTCAGCACAGTGCCAAGGCACAGAGTTAATACTCTGTATTCATTGACAAAAAATGCATCTCATTTCTTTGGGCCTTCTGGTTCCACGCTCGGTTCCTAACCAAAAGGTTGGTGGTTTGAACCCAACCAGACCTGGTGATCTGCTCCAATAAAGATCACAGCTTAGAGTCCCCTACAGGACAGTTCTACTCTGTCACATGAGGTCACTATGAATCGGAATCAACTCAATGGCACCTAACAACTACAATCTCTATTTTATAAAACAGAACCTAGTACGGTCCAGATACTTCCTAAACATTTACAGCAGCTAAACACTTTGAAGTAACTTAAAATGGAACAAAGAGAAACTTTTCCTCTTACTTCCCACTGTTTTCATCTGCCCAAAGCTGTAAATATCACAATGTAAATGTACCGAACGAGAACAAAAATTCAGTTAAACCAGTAATTGTTTTGCTTCCAGAGACTCAGAAACACTTCAGACATGCATTGAGCAGCTGGTGTCTACATATTGGTATTCCCAGTCATTATTGATGTGCAGCGTTTTAAATGAAAACATATACACTATTGATCAAGTATGAGTCAAATATGATCTTGCATTGCTGTTACCAGTGATTTCATCCAGCCCAAAGTTAACAGAAATCCTAATTTTAAGACAAATGGTATTAAGACTATTTTTATGCCTCTTCTCTTTTTTTAAAAAAAATTATACTCATGTAACCATTGCTTTCTACGGGAAGTCTCTACTCACGTAGAGTATAAAACCTACAACACCAATCTGTTAAAATGTTCATATAATGTAAATTACAATTATTCTATTTTTAGGTAAACAGATTTTTTGGGGGGAACTTGATGGTGTCTCTTTTACAATTTGTCAATGTGCACAAAGAAATCATGATATTGTGGGTGTCATATTGCATGGGAGAAATCCACCCCCCTGCCAAACATCTTGACCTCAACTAAAACAGTCAGTCACAGGCTCACTCTTATCTGAATGATGTGAGAACATGGTTAGATAGGCCCCTTCCAGCACTATGTGCTGAGAATCAGAATAATAAGGAAAGTATAAACCTTTTCTAATATTCCAGATCTCATAACGCAAAGCTTCCTGGTGGGCCTGTATTTGGAAGCCCGAACTCCGGATGTGCAAGGACTTCTGCACACACCACAGCCCACTTCCTTCAGCCTCGTCTCCCTCATTACCCTTCATGCATTATATAAGTACCAGGAAGGCTGAGCTGCTTTCTGAGCTGTTCCTGTGCTTCACTGCTTTTCTCAAGCTTTGCTCCCAGTGGTTCTCTTACCTAAGGATTCCTGTCTTTCCAGTCTACATCCCAAACTCTTATGGTACATAGTACCCACTCCTCCCACCCTGCTTAATCAGAACTCACTTCACAGTAGTGCTGTGCCCTATGTCTCTGCAACACACATCTGGGACTGTGATCCCCTTGAAGGTATGAGCTGCGTGCCTTGCATACAGTCGATATCCGACACGTCTGCCAAATGAATGACTAAGTAGCCAGTTGCGGACTTAAGAAATGGAAAGAAGTTTCATGTTGCCCATCCTCCTGCCATTCCCTCTGAACCCCTCTGAGGAATCACCAGAAAATGGTAAGAACTCCAATCTGACCCTTCAAGGGGCCAGTAATCTGAGTGAAATAACAACACTAAAGACAAATAAGTTGGAATTGACTTGATGACAACTAACAATAACAACGAAGACAATCGAATGAACGTTAAATAGACTCAGGAGAAAATGAATGCGCTGCAGTGTATCCTTAGGTAAGCAAGACCAAATCCGATGATGGTAGTGATGGTGACTTGGGGTGGTGTTGGAAGAGACTACCAGGCATTCAAAGGAAAAAAACTACAAGCAAAGGGCTAAAGACCAATAAAACACAACAAGCTAGCACTTTCTCACATTTTTCCTACTAAGAAAATATAAGGATAAAAACCCACTGCTGTTGAGTCGGATCCGACTCATAGCGACCCCTCCATGGGTTTCCAAGGCAATGTCACTATAGAAGTAGATAGGAGTGGCTGGTGGGTTTGAACCACCAGCTTTCTGGTTAGCAGTCAAGTGCCTCAGGCACTACGCCACCAGAGCTCCTACAAGGATAAAAGACAAGCTAAAAACAAAAGTAGTTTATTCAGTCTGCATGACTTTTCTCTTGGTTCCGATCAACATACTCACCCATACTCATACCTTTACACAGAAGACCCTTATCTCAAACATTTGGAAAGGTAAAGTAAAAAGTGAGGAACGGGTTCTTTTGACATCTGTCTTCTGCTTCTGGGTGCCATGATTAAGTACAAAGCTCACTAAAGTAATTTTGTGCCTGAGCATCTCAGAGACTTCAAATTCCTAAACCAAATGGCATACTTTAAGCTTTATCAGGGCAGTTTTGCCTCTTTCTCAGAAGCATAGATTTTTGCAAGCAGCCAATGAGACAAGTCAGAGACCACAGATAAATGACACGAAGTGGTCTCACGATGGCACTGCCATCACCTTACATGCTCCTATCAACCCAGAGTCAGGAGGGTATGCCTGGTGCTCCATCAGGAATGGTCAGACTGGGGTTTTCCGTCTCTTGCTTACCCTCAACGTCTTGAAGCACCTCAACATCTTCTGTGTGCTTACATTACACCTCAAAATGTAGGGGAAGCAGGTTACCTCTGGTTACTTTTAACTGATGCTTGGTAATGAGGCTGAATAAAACTCTAACTGTAACTTCTCAAAAGTTAGATCAGAATTAGAAAAGCTCTTGTGTGATAGCACATATTACTTGAAAGAAAACCACAGATGGGTTTGGCAGGATTACCAGGGGTGTGCAAAATGTTCTGGATTTACTGACATTCATTTTCATCCTAAAGTAGATATTTGGGGAGCAGGCAGCAAAGAAACATGATTCCTCTTGCTCATCGAGGTCAACCCAGCTAATGTTGGGAACTCGCTCTCCCATCCTCGCGGGATCTTCATCCTCAGAGAGGAGTAGGGCAACAGGACTTCTACCTTTCTCATGTGCCCAGAGGCTTCTTCTTTGAGCCTTCTTTGCATGTAGATCACAAATCTAATTAAAGTGCTTCAGCTCCTCTCATGCCCCATGAGAAACTGTGCCAGGTTTGTATCTGAGAGTGTATAGTCCATATGGCCCCTCACAAAAATCCTAAAACAGTAAAACCTTTGAAAGCTGGAACCTGTGGAAGATGGAAATCTGTCAGAGAAGGAAAGCTCGAATATATTCCAACATAGTATATAAAAATCTTGTTCTGCAATCTACTTTGGTGAGTAGAGACTGGGGTCTTAAAAGGTTTTGAGTGGCCATCTAGGAGAATCTGAAGCAAAGAAGAGTGAAGAAAATCAAAGCCAGTTGGGAACAGTCCAAGGATATGACGGACCT